ACTTGATTATCTAAAATAAATATGCTCTGGATAGTATTAGATTTTCAGTAGTTTAGTATGCATTATATATTGCATTGAATATTATTTAATTGTTCAATTTTCAGTAATTCACCTAATTTTAGCCAATTTTGTAAAAAATATATAATTTTAGCAAATTACTTTGAATAGAGTAAAAGTGGCTCTTCAAAATGATAAAATTATATGTAAAAGCGCCTATAAGTTTATCTTAGACAACTTCATGATGGGCACTATCAAAAAACATATAATTCATTATCAGGATCAATTTTATTGAAATAGTGAAGTATCGATGAAACAGAGTGCACCAAAATAAGGCCCCTAGGTTATGATAACATTGCATTGTATTTGGTCACTACTAGTTTGCTTGACATTACAAGAAGAAAAAATAAATTTGTTGAGTTGGCCGACTCATGCATTTGTTTGGTTTTAAAGGACTTATTTGAAATATATTTCAATGCACAATAAATCTAATTTCAACTCAGATCCATGAATTTGGAGCTCAAAAAATGGTGCAAATTTGATTGGATATTTGAAGGTTTAGAATGAACCGTCTAAAAAAGATACAAAATGTTGAAAATTGTTGTAGGGTGAAACGGGGCCTGAAATCTGTAGTAATAAAGGAATAAAAAGACTTTCAACAACCACGTTATACGCTCTCTCAGTATTGTAATTTACATCCTTAATGTAAAATAACAGTGTACAAAAGGTAACCGAGCAGATCAGTTTTCGAGATATTTATAAACAGAAAATCACTAATAATACTCACCTAATTTTACATAACATAGGCAAGTCTACTTAGCACCAGAGTTGCCTGAATTTAGAGAAAAAAAGTAGCTCATTTTATGTTTTCAGAGAGATAAAGACAATAAGAAAATATTGAGTGAGAAAGAAATTTCAAAATTAGTAAAAAGGTGTTTTAAAAGATGAGTAAAAAGTTCCTTTTAAAAAGTGAATAGTGATTATTCACAACACAAGTGATTGTTGGGTTTCCAACCATCATCGTCCAATGGTTATTAACTGTTGGATCATTGAACTGTGATGAGCACGCCTTTCTGTATCAACAATATTGTCTTAGCCGTTAGATCTCGCACACGTCACGCTCACACCCGTTTGTTCCATGTATATAAAGCATGAGAGTGTTCATGTTTCACACTCTACTCTTCAATGTGGGACTAAAAGCCACTACATTATATCTCTATTTATTTAAAACTTTAAAAAATATATATAAGTAGATTATTTACCATTTTACTATACTAAAATGCCAACACAAAATAAACCATATTTAAAGACACAATTTTTTGTTTCCTTATCCAAATTCAATCGTATAGAATCCAGATGATAGACCTACAAAATTTTAGATCCAAAATTTATCTCCAAAATAAATTTCGGGAGAGTTGACCCCCTGTAAAACCCCATCCTTATAAGAATAATTCACAATAAAAACAAACTATTTCAGGCAAAAAAGGAGAAGAGGGAATGAAGGGATAAGAAAGCTATATGTTCGTGGATCATAAAATTTGGAATTGCTACGTGCCCTAGAATTGAAAACAATATGGACCTTTATTTCCTCATTTCTATCATATGGTACTATTTAGCCTAATGTACCATTTTCCCAATTTTTAAGTCGCCTAATGTACTATTTAACTTTGGATTGAAAGTAATTGCCACTTCTTCCATTTCCCCAACTTTTAAATGTTGGTAAATGTGTGGCCATGGTGCCTCCCACATATTTTTTTTTATTTTATTAAATTTATATTTTCTAAGAATACTAGATTCATTATTTAATTTAAAAAGAGTGATAAAATGTATTTTCCAACTGTTAGTGGATAACTCTCTATCTCCCAAATTTTGAAGACCATCTGCTCAAAAATTCCAAAGGACAATCAAACGTTATTCTAATTGAATCCTCTGAACGCTTAACTGAGTCATGTAAGACCACATCATCTTCATTGAGAATTATGGAAAATACTCGGTCTCTACGATATACAGCCCAACGACATCGCCTTCAAGATCTAGTATTTTGTGGGATTTCATTGTTCATTTTTCCTTCATTGCATTGTGGAGACATACAATGTGTGATCCATATGGTCATGATCACAACATGAGCATGTCTATAATCATTGTCCTATGAAGCTGGAAGATGAAGGACAGCCATACGGAAGTCATTCTTGGTAGGACCCACTCTCTCCCATCTGTGGGCCAACACATGGGTGGGATAGTAATAAGCACAGGCTCGCGATGTTATCATGACCATATGGATCATAATACGCACAAGTTCGTATTGCTATCGTGACCATATGGATCATACTATGTCACCCATGTATTATAACGGCTGGCAAACCACAAGGAATGCTTTTTCAAATTAAAACAGCAGTTGAAAGTATAAAAAACTAAGGCCATGTTTGGTAGGTATGAAAATACCTCACACAAAAAAACTACCTTATATGATTAGATTTAGGAGTTTTTCACACCAATTAGTCCCAGCGTATTTTTTTGTGCTAAGTGATCGTCAATTGATGTGAAAAAACTCCCATGCCTCATGAAAAAAAATTTTCATGTCAAAATAATTTAACATAAGTATTTTTACATGTAACAAACATGCCCTAAGGCATTCCATCATCCGAACCCGCCATATAGGAGATGGGGCCTTTTACCATTACAAGAAGTATTATTTTCTCGTAGATTTGAATCTTTTGGTCCAATTTCTGTTAATCATGTGAAGGTTTGATCAGGTTTTCAATCACATGAGCAGCTCAATGCAATGGCTCAAGGAAGGCTCATTATGGAGAACCAAAGAGGCCAGACTCCACTGTCGGATACAAAAGGCCCAAGTCCATGTGGCAGTGTCAGCGGCGATAGTGGCTGCCGCCATCGCTTCTTTCACAGTGAAACAAGCGATGGAGAGAGCAAATGGACGTAAGAACATGGCCTTAGCATCAGCGTCTGCACTTGTGGCTGCCCGGTGCGTTGAGATTGCAGAATTCCTGGGTGCCCGACATGAGCAGCTCTGTTCTCTTGTTAGCTCCGCCGTGGCTGCGTCGTCCCCTGTCGATATCCTTCATATGGCCACAAAATTGCAGACATGGACAGGTCGTTCCTCTCTCTTTCTCTCTAATAACATTCTAAGAACCATTGGCATGCATAAAAGCAGGCCAAAGGGAAATGGGATGTGGTTTGTATTGGGCCAAGGCCTTAAACAATCAATGTATGGCGCACCTTCAAATAGTGTGAAAAAATATTGTTTTAGTATCAAAAATCTTTATGATGGTTTTAAAATTTATTTTCGTCTCTAATTATAATATTTAAAGTTAAAAAATAGTGTAGATCGAACAGATCTATGAATACTTGAAAATCTTGAAAAGTGATGATCTAGATAATACATTTAAGATGCACTAATTCCGAAACTTGAAATCCATTTTTTTCTCATGTCTATAAATCTTGAGGTGAAGATGATCAAATTTTAAGATTTTTCAGCATCGAAAAAAAAATTTCTAATGAATTTTTGAAGTGCGCCTTAATTTGATTGTTTAGGGCCTGGCCTTTATATAAACTTTTTTCAAGATAAATATCCATTACTTCTTATGTGTATCGGCATAAAGTACTCGAGTCTGCCACCCATCATTCATTCTTACATATCAACAGTGGAGATGAACCTTTATCACATATTGCAAGTCATCTCATTTGTCTTCGAAATGCCTGCTCATCTCCACCATCTGTTGATATCTACGAGTAACTTAGACGACATGGAGTATAGTATACGGGCTTGGATTGAGAACTTATGTTTGATTGAACATGCCAGTGTTTTCAAGCTCAGCTCGGGCCTCGGACACGTCCCTTATCCCAAGCCAAGTAACTCAGTGGAGTCCAAGTGGACTCGGCCAAATTTTGTACAGGATAAAAACACCAAAAAAATTTCAAAACGAAAAAGTGAAGTTTTTGTTAAAAACAATAAAACAGTAAAATAACTAATACATATCAGAAGTCTATAAAGTCCAAAAATGTTCATAAAAATGGGTTATTGAAAACTCTGGTTTATACCTTGAAATGTTCAAAAAATAAAAAACAATTGATGCATGTAATGAGAAAAGTTCTCGAACAATCTAAAAACCACATAAATCATATATTGATGCATTTCTAAATCATTGATTTCATAATTTTTAATAAAAATTAGCACTTGTGCCTAATTTCACACAAAAGCGAGTTGCTCCAAGAACATAAAGAGTACTCAGCTGAATCCGAGTGGATTCAGTCGAGTCCAAGTAGACTCGGCTGAGTTGAAACATTGAAATATGATAATTTTTAGGTTTTCCTTTTCTTTGTTTCTGGATTTAAAATTCTAGGAGACCTTTTGCCCAAAAATTGCTATTTTGGAAAAATAAAGCCCTCTTGTCCAAAAATTTGGTGGTTCTTTTGTTGGTTTAGAAAGGCTAATTATGTTGCGGATTCTTTCTCCAAAAGTAGGACCCAGCAGCTCTCGGTTGGTGGTTACAAGATATTCTTAATTTGTGTTATCTTTTGTGCAGTTTTCCTTGTTAATGGAAATTACATGTTAATGTTAATATTAATAAATAAAAAAACGTAAAATGTGATCTTGAAATGATCTAATGCTTCAATTAACCTTGAATTGATCTAATTTTATGGTTTCATGGGTAAATTTCATGTTTACTCAAATAAGAAACATAAAATGTGAGTATTTTCTTTTACTGATTAGAGATGATAATTTCGTCACATGTACCATTAACTAGTTATTGATGCAGCTCTCAAAGGTATGAGGGCAGCATGCCCTCCCAATCCTAAGAAAATAGACGGCTCAGATTTAACGTTGAATTGTCAGGCTTTGGCCATGGGGAGGGATCTTCCAACGTGCACAGAGAATGGTGAGTGCCTGCTACTTTGCCATAAATGACACATTGCCGTCTTTCAAAACTTACAATTATACTCTTGACTAATTGTAACAAAACTTTAAAACTTCGCTAGGAATTAGGGGTGGTAATGGACCCGACCCCGATCCGGCTCTAGGTCCAAAAATTGGATCCGGTATCCGGATCCAAATTTTGGACCCGAACATTATTCAGATCTCCATGTCCAATTGGGTCGGGGCCAATAATATTTTTTGGGTCCCAACATATGAAATATATTTAAATATAGTTAAACACATAGATATTTTAATTTTTAAGTTAGGTCCGATCATATCTAGGTCCCACGGTATATTTTCAAGTCCAAACCCAAGTCACATATCATTTTCTCGGATCTAGGTCTACCCGGCCTATTGCCTCCCCTATTAGGAATAAGTTGAAGGCTAGGTTGTCAGGATAGTGAAGTTGCCACAAGATAACGTATTGACGCGGGACCCGAAGGGTGACTAATGGTAACAAAACTCTAAAACTTCGTTAGGAATTAGGGGTGGCATTGGACCCCGGACCCGATCCGGTTTTGGGTATGGGTCCAAAAATTGGATTTAGTGGGTTAGGTTCGGATCCAAATCTTAGACCCGAACACTATTCAGGTCTGGGTCTAGGTCCAGTCGGGTCGGGGTCCAATAATATTTTTCAGGTCCCAATATATGAAATATATTTAAATACATAGATATTTTAAGTTTTAAGTTGGGTCTGATCGGATCTAGGTCCCACAGTATATTTTTGGGTCTAGACCCAGGTACCATATCATTTTCTCGAGCTCGGATCTAGGCCTGCCCGACCCATTGCCACCCCGATTAGGAATAAGTTGAAGTCTAGGTCGTCGGAATAGTAAATTACCACAAAATAATGTTTTGAGCTCCATTCCTATCACGGGTAGAAATCAAAATCCCATCCAAACTAAACTACTCCAAAAAATAACCAGCTCTAAACTGTCGAGGGACCTTTAACAATGATTACGCTCATGTAAAATAAAGAACATAAGAGTGTAGTCAGCTTTATTATTCACTGGTGAGCCCTTTCTTGTAACACTGCTTGTCAACAAACACCACCATAATGTCGCTAACTCATTCAAATGGGTGGTCCATCTAAAAACAACTGAAACTAACAGTCCAAATATTTTTTTTATAAAATTATTTTAAAATTTTTAAAATTTATTTATTTTTCTATATTCATGATCTCTATGTTAGAGATTATGTCCTTAAAAATTAGATCCAAAAATCCATCTCAAGAATAGATTTTTAAGAGGCAGCCCATTTCTATATGGACTCAAGAAACCCTATCCTTCCACATATTCATAATTAATTCCCTTGGTAGAGTTGTTAGGACATCCAAACGAGGCCTAAAAACAGAGGAATTTTGCAAAATCTACTAAATACATTTTACAAACCGCTGCAAACCATATTCACATACTAAAAGGTTAATAACAATTACATATTGTTTGGATTGTTGTTGACAGGGAAGACAAAGCTAAAGAGAGTGTATATCTATATGAAGCAGTCACATGTGTTCCTTAGACTTAGAAACAAGCACTGGGGAGGCATCTTTACTACCTCTACATATCGTAAGTTGCTCGTGGCTAATAACAACAGACAAATAATAATCATGTAGAATTGTCAAAAAGAAAAAGAAAAAAAAAGATAAAATAGGAAATATATATAATTAGAGCATTTATTTTTTTATACAAGGATGTTAAAATCTTTATTGACCGTTAGATTTGAAATTTGGTGGTTGAGGATGTGTCATCATTTGAGTATTAAGTCCAAAATAAAATTTCTTGAATGTTGTGACGCTTACATTTATTGAATTTCACATCAAATGGCTAAAAGTGATTCTGACCTCTTTGTGTCAAAAATAAATGGTCTTAAAGTAAACAATCATGATAAAAAATAAGAAACTAGTACATGGAAAATGCGTAAATGCCCATTTTCCCTACGGGTTAATTAGCACAAAGTCACAAACCCAAAAGATTGTGCACAGCTGTGATTTTCAAAAATGCCAAGCTAACTGAGAATTGCTAGCGTCGGGTGATTCTGAGTCAAAAAACCCAAGAATCGCCTCAGCATCCCTACTTTTGCATATCATTTTAATGTTTATTAGTAGAAATAACATAGTCCCCCACTCAGGTGACTTGGGCTCGGAACCCTGGCAAATCAGAGCCCGAACCCGACGTTTCCAACACCAGCTCAAAACATGGCCATGCACCATAACATAACCCAAAACATTTAAGTGTGTCCCATATGCAAAGATAGAACATATTCCGTACATGTAACAATATGAGATTTCCCACCCTTGGCTTGGTGATTTTCTCCCATCAAAACTAACTATTTAATTTTAATTCATCAGATACAATTGTGGAAATGATGGAAAACCATGGAGAAGGTTGGGAAGGAAGATGCTGCTTCACGAATGAAGTGAATGGCTTCTCCTTCATTGGTATAAGGACCAGTCACGACCACAAATACTTCTTCACCTTCAAAGAGGAAAAGGAATGCAATGTTTGGGCATCAACCATCTCAAACCTGCTTCAACTTTCCACCACCAAACCAAATTAAGACATCATCTTTTATTTTATCTTTATCTCAAAAATCACTTTGTAAATCTGTGTTCCTTCCTCTTATGGACAGTTTCTACTGGTATTTACCGACAATAATAAACTCATTTCTATCTACTTTTCCAAGTAACATTTCATTTGCTAGCATGAAGTCCTAATGCAATGGAGCGATACATATCTATGACTTCATTATAGTGCGTACAATCAAAAGGCTTCAAGTCGCAGAGAGCATGGATTTACACCTGGAAGGCATCATAACCAGCATGTTCGATGCACTTAATTACATTGAAGCCACCAAATGTGTAACAGACGGCAATCAGTGTAAAACTTTTTAAGTTCAGTTTGGACATTCCCATACCTAGATCGATGAGGTTTAGTTCAGTTTGGACATTCCCATAACTAGATCGATGAGGTTTACTTACAAAGAGGGTGCCCTCTTTTCTCGAGTGTGTGGACATTTGGAAATAAGCGAGGCAGGCATTCCCACAACTAGATCGATGCGGTTTGCTTACAAAGAGGGATGGTGCCCTGCCCATAACTAGAATACTTGCAAAGAGGGAGGGTGTCTCGATGCGGTTTACTTACAAAGAGGGTGTCCTGTTTTCTCGAGTGTGCGGACATTTGGAAATAAGCAAGGCAGAGAAAGAAGACATTCCCATAACTAGATCGATGCGGTTTACTTTAAAAGAGGGCATAATGCCCATAACGCGGTTTACTTAGAAAGAGGGTATCCTGCCCATTAACGGTTTACTTATAAAAAGGGGGTGTCCTGTTTTCGTATGTGTGGACATTCGGAAATACGATAGGCAGAGAAAAAACATCTCATCCTCATGAGAGGACCAAACAATACAGTTTTGGAATACGTGGCGCAAGGCGTAAGAGGGAGACTATGTACTCCCAGCTTCCTTAGTCAACTGCTAAGGATAGTGAACTCTCGCTGATACTCCTCTCCATTATGGATTGGTTACAGATATTTACAATCAAAAAGGAAAATTTGGGCCTCAATGTGTGCTGGTGCTCCTCAAAGACAGAGATCGGCACCGCCAGGGTGGCAATCGGGTCAGGTGGTCCCATTTTGGACGCCACTGGTCTGGTCTGGTCTGGACCGGACCCAACCGAGGGCTGAAACCTAGTCTGGTCAGGTCTGGGTCAACCTTTGACCTGACCCAGTGCGACCCCTATTGTTGTGGAGGGGCTCCTCCAGGTGCCATTCTAGAAACCCAAGTAGGTGTGGGGCACTCAGAGATTTCATCCGACTACCAAAACACTGCATTTTGTTCGCAACACCAACCAAATATCAACCAGAAAGTAGTAGAAATGCATTAATTCATCTAAATAAAGCATACCATATAACCTTCGTGATTTCAAAGTGGAACCGCTTGGACAATTATATGAGAGGACCACACCTATAGCACTAAAAAACCTTGCTTTAAAACTGAAAACAGGAGGAAAACAACAACAACAACAACAACAAAGGAACTGAAAACAGGAGGAAAACAACAACAACAACAACAAAGGAAACAAAAATCAAGGTGTCAACTAGTATTTAGTCCTCTACTACCTCTCAGGAAACAACTTGGCTATTATATCTATAACAACAATCGCTTAAATAGGCAATTTTCTGGTAGGGCCGCAGCTCCAATATACTTTGAAGAACCAGTAAACCCTAGCCTCCAAGAAGCAGCAAACCATTGCAACTGATAAATATCCACCCAAACATCTAAAGAAACAACAAACACAACTATAGAATAAACAAGCTTCCAAATTAATGGAATGCAACAGATTATAAACCATTGAAAATAAGTAAGTGAAGTACAACAGCAACTTCAAGTGGAAGAGCAGGCCTAGCCCTTGAAAAAATAATAGGGCTTCAGTAAAAGGCACATCAAGTGGAAAAAGCCTAGCAAAAAACTTTAGGCTGATTCCAGAAAAGCACATAAACCTAATATAGGATAGCTCCCCAAACTCCATCCTCAAATCCTTGGGGACCAAACCCTTGCCATATTCGCATCCCTGTACAGCACCGACTTTTACCTGCAAAACGTTAGCTAATTACACTCCCAGCATCAACCTACTCCATCCCCATCATTAACCATAAAATGACACTTTCTTTTTCTCTACACACACATACCTATCTACATCACACTCCCCACTAAGTTACAGAGGAAGCTTGCCACCTAAAACTAACTGATACCCCAAGCAAGCGTTCTTTGCTTCCAATTTTTTCATCTATATTCTATTTCTCAACTTAGCACCCCCAAAACCCAAACATATCATAGTTTTGTCAGCCTTTTGCATAGGCATGCCGGCTGAGTTCCCTATCATTTTCCTTTCAAATCTCTCTAAATAGGCAACCACATCAAGCAATCCTTTAAATCAGATAAGAGCTCGCGTACAGCCTCACTGCAATATCCATTCGGCTTCTCTCGCCACCCACCGCATTGACCGACACAGGAACAGTTGATAGATATTGCAAAGTCAAGGGGAAAACAGCTGGATCAACAGCCTGGTTTTGCCGCACTTGTTTATTATAGGGGTTGACCACTAGACATGAACCTGGTGTGGCTTCATGAGTAATATTCTCATCACGAACTTCCTGCTCGGAGGTGGGCTCGGACAAGTCGCTTGTTTTGATTGTTAGGGCAAAATCATCTAGATTTCGAGATTTCCCAAGGTGACCCTTTCTCTGGGAACGTTTCAATGGATATAGGTCCAATACCAATGTGCCTGTAGCCTCGAGCCAATGGACGACCAGCCCTTCGACGTCATCATAATATATGCGGCTTTGCATCTGGTAAAATTATATCAATCATGTAATCAGCATTGGCACAAGGACATGGAATTCATGAGAGAGAGAGAGAGAGAGCAAGAGAGAGAGTCGTACAGCAAGCTTAGTGATGTAAACATTCATGAACTTTGGCCCCAGTCCTAAGACTCTGCCCTCTGTTATAAAGGTCTGCCAAAGCCAAAAGCATTAAAAGAATAGAGAAGAAATAATCAACTATATAGAAGCACTAAGTAATTTGCAGAACAATTTTGTCAACCCTATAAACTTCCACAAAGTAAATGGGAAAAAATATATGTTTCAAAAGGCTATTTTCATATTAGTTTTCATTAATTTTGCCAGTTGTAGAGGGGCAAAAATAGTGACAGCTACTTGAGAACACTTTTTGTTCTATGAAATCTATAATCAGTGGAGACATGGTGTGGGTCAAAGAATAAAACCAAACAATCAAAGAAACATACACTAACCAAGGCAACAAACAAAAACATACATCAACACAAAACATGCAAATTTTAGACACTTCCTGAAGGACATGGAAACTGACAGAATCCTGAAATGCTGTTTGTAACTTATTCCAGGAATGATAACTCACCTTTTATAGCATAGTTGTTGGGATCTCCCAACCTAGGTCGGGATCCAGCTCCAGAATCTCGTTTCCACATTTTGGGAAAGGGATGTTCATAGGATCACAATTTTTAAATTTCGGTATCTCGACCTCCTCTGTTAGGGATCTTGATCCCAACCTTGAGGATCACGATAACAACCAAATGACTATTTTCAAACCTACATGCAATGCAACTATACTTTTAATATAGTTACATTTCTTGATGGCTATAAACAAAGAGATCCCTACTTTAAAGAGAATGAATATTGAGTCCTAGACTATATATACTCCTTAAGGTTAGGAGCAAGATCCCTAGCATTTAGGGATCTTAATTCTTAACATATGCATCATATGGACAACGCTCCCAACCGTAAGAATCTTCTAGCATTTGATGACCCCCACTCCCATCCTTATCCTGCTCCCAATTCACTCCCGATCCCAACAACTATGTTTTAACGAGGTATACCAAACATAGCACGGATTAGCTTACCAATCATTGGAAACCCGCATTCGTGGTTTGGTGGTGGAAGATGAATTCGAGAATCTTAATAAAATAAACCAGAGAAGTCGAAGAAAACACTGACAAAAAACGATATGAATCTCAATTTTTGATGCACAGAAGAGTTTGGGAACCTAGTTTGGGCTTTTTACAATCTCCCATGTTTTGGTGGGAGAAATACCTCCAATTGACCTTTACAATCTCCCATGTTTCGGTGGGAGAAATACCTCCAATTGACCTTTCAAGGGAAGTAAAATTGAAAGAAATTGGAATATAGAACACTTGATATGACCGGGCCAGATTATAAGCTCGCTTAGCTTGTGATATGAGAAGGGGACTCTGTCTTTTCAACACAATTCTCTCTCAATTACACATTCTCTTGGAGATGAGGTTGGGTTTCAATCTAGCTTATGTTGGCCTTTAGTCTCAAGAGAATTTTTCTTGCTAAGTCTCCCTTCCTTACTTTAATCACTCAATCTCAGTGCCCCTTAGGTTGAGAATCTCCACTCTAGGACAGAACTCTATGAATATATGCAAAGCACTCTCACTTTAGAGCGCCCTTTTGCCTAGATCACTTGGTCTCAGTCCTCCTTAGGTCAAGAATCTCACACCCAAGGCCCTCTCTCTCTCTCT